AGTCGTCATATTATGCCAATAGAACATAAGAAATAAAAGCAAAGTAGGTCATACTAAAGCAATCAAATTAATTTTAGGGATTCATAACCGTCATTAAATGGCTGTTACGCTTCAGAAATATTATTCATCGATTTTTCTTTATTCTCTTCTCCATTATTTTTAATTTCGTTTCCTTCTTGCCATTTTTGCTCCTCTGCTTCTCTGTATTTTAAGAATTGATCTTAGTTAAAGGACTATATAGACCATAATTTTAATAACTATTCTATTAAATTATATAATTATTAGCCTAACAGAAATATCGTTCTATATTCTATCTGCTCGTTTATATGGTTGTAAAGTTCAAAAATAGGCACATATTCTGATTTCAAATCAAAACTTAAAGATCCACAGTATTCTAGAGCAATATTATGTTAAAGCTATAATAATTAAAATAATAAATGCTTCTAATGAGATGGCGGATGAGTAATGTGTTTTAAAGAATTTAGGTTACGCTACCGGACGCCTTTCATACCGAAATGAGAATTAACCTTGCTATTTAATCTAGCAAAGACAATATAATACTAAACTTTTCCATACCTTCGTCGACTCTTCCATCTTAGGTAGCAAAAAAATAAAACTGAGGCTACGGCAATTCCAGCGGCAACGCAGCCAATAATTACTCCAGCCGTTGCAGCAAATTTTTCTATTAAACGTCATAAATAATAACAATTTAAATATCATTCACAGTAAATAAAATCAGATGATAATAAAATTTTTTCTTTCGATTTTTAGATCATCTAATATAAGCTCAATAATCATAATCATTCACATAATAACTAACGTTATAAGATAATTTTTGTCCTTAAACGAAATAATATTAAAAGTGAAAAATTTCCATCTTAAGTGTCTATCTGTCAAAAATCAGTTCTGTGACAAGATAACGAAAGGCTAAATCTGAAATTCTTCTCTCTGAATCACTATTAGGGCGCTAAAGTCTGTCTATAAAACAAATCGGAAAACTTATCTCTAATTTTAGAAATCTCAGTGATTTATACGCCTTTAACTTCAGGTCATGCACTATACTTAAGAACCAACTCTATTGCATAAAATGCCGGGCTTGTACATCTTTCTACTGAAAAGCTAGAAGCTATCATAAGTATCAATAGCACGAATAAACCAGGTAGTAAATTTATATCTAAATGCCTAATAACTACGGCAACATTTAACGGCATAGACATCTGATGATCAGTACAAGACAGCCGTTGACAAAATCGGTCAAGTCGTAATGTTAAATCTCATGTGAATTAGTCAAAATCACATACTACGGCGCAAAGTGTCTTAAAATTATGAACTATATATTTCGTCATCTAAATAAGGTTTTGCCTCTGAATATCGTTAATTTCTCTACGGTGAGATAATACCGTAGTATCATTATATTTTAGATTTAAAAGTAATGAATGATTTGGCCGGAATGGCAAATAGCTAATCCGACAGTTAAAATGGGCCTAGCATATGCGTCTAAAATTTTAGCGTATAACGTATTTTACTGAAACTTACTCCTCGAAGGACCTAAGCAGTCCGATCCAGGCAAGCACCTGTAATTTTCAATCAAGACATAAAGCAGTTTAATCATTAAATATTAAATATGACCTTTCAAAGAAGCCAGTAAAGTATTCTTGCAGTCGTAAACTTTTAGTAAATTAGCTCATATGTAATGCAAATCTAAGTAATATATTATAACAATAATATAATCACATTTATTAATAGTCTACAGTGACAAACATCGAAAAAAGCTTTCAGTTATCAGTACATTATGTATGTTTGAATTGTTTATACTGCTGTTAAAAATGCTAAATTTAGATAAATATGCTGGTTAGGTTTTAACGCTGATTTTTAAAATATATTAACGTTGCATAATTTAGAATTAATATTATGGGCTAAATTCATAAGTAGTTTAGCTCCATATATTTGATACGATAGTAAGATATATATGCACAGCAAATATCTAACTTACATGCAAAAGGCAGTTGTTATATTATGCACCATGCATATTTTGCCATTTTCACATTCCAAGGCACATTCTTAAATATAATTTAGAATAAAATAGATTTCAGTCACAAATTCTGTTTCTACCATTAATACAAATTTGATGTAGTAATTCGTACGCGTGAATAAACTAATATGGAAGAATATAATTTGACCATAGTAGTGTTCATAATTTAAATTGTAAACAACAATTTAGCACAACGAAATTTAGCTACTACTAACATATGATTAAATGCTGCAAAATGTTAGAGTTATCAATTCTACTTTACCGATAGTTAAATACAATTAAAAAACTAAAGACAAAATTACAAGATACGTGTATGCCGAACATAATATACTGTACAATAATTTCGTGGTAATCTAATTTTTAATAATATTATTTGGTACCCTATAAGGTATTTGATATAGATTCTAAGGGTATTTTATTGACTATGCAAGGAATATGCCAAATTAATTAAAGCAGTTGTCCACTTACTTGAGCAATTATGGCTGTAATAACTACCATTTCTTCTTAGTTCATCACACTGACACCGATATGATCCTAATGTATTGACACATTCTTGATATTCATATGGGCATATGGATGGCTTTGTTTTGCATTCGTCGATATCTAGGTACAATATTAAAAAAATATTATTCTCATCTCTGATTTATGAAAACATCAAATGTTTGCTTATGTCATTCATGTACGACAAACGTAATAACTGAGAAAATCAATGTGTTAACTTCATCTTTTTAATAAAATATCAATAAACATGAGACATGCTTATTTATATTAAATTGACAGATAAATAGAATAAGGTGAGTGATAATAGTATCGGATATTGTAGTTACTGTAAACAACGGTATTCGTCTTCAGTTGTAATATTGTGATAAGTTGTATATAACATTTTATTGCTGTTTTATCCACCTAATAAACTATCGCATAACTTTTCTAATTAGAATTTATTATGATCGTAAACTGCATATGATCATACGGCAAAGAATAATGTGCGCCTTTTTATTATGTGCACTAAATAACTGAATTACTAAATTTAGTACAGTATAGAATCAACACTTTCATCTACCAAAACAATTATTAAATCAGAAAAACTATTACAACGTTTAAAATGTGTCGCGATAGAGATGTCTTCTAATTAACATAAGTAACAAAACAGTTTTCGAATCATTACATTAACAATAAGTTCAGTCGTTCCATAAAACTGATCTAAAGGTCGATAACAATACGGAATCATTGGCAAAATTCATCTCTTGCTTATCTTTGCCTTAGTCACAAGCAAATATCAGTAATTATAAGATTATAATTATACCCACAAAACCCTCAACGCTGAAGCCTATATAGTGCTATATAAACTAATCGTAACGGAAGTACTAACGTAGTAGTGCTGCTGGACTAGTTTTGTCAGCGATACTGATCTAGAATTTACAAGAAATGCAGAGAAAGTAGTAAAAATTTATCATTTAGGCTCATTATGCCTAGCTTATAATAAATAGCGAATTGTTGTATTAATGAAAATTGAGATAATGGAGCTATTTAAACTCTAAATGAATATGCAGTTTTACCTAAATTGGCAATAGGTAAACATACTTGTAGGAGTCACTGTTATACTGATTGATAAAAGGGATAATTTAGTTAATTAAAAAATGTTAACATTTCGACTAAATATACATACTATTTATAACTAAGGAGATCTATATTAGCTTAAGTAGTTGTATATTTGATAATCAATATACTAATTATAGGAGCACTGGCTATTAATTCAATAGCTACTGTTTGCTTTTCTAGAAATGGAAATCAAATGGTATACAATATAAGTCAAGCTTTTCTCCACAATAAAATCAAAAGATCGAGTGATAGCAGCCAGAGTACGTGGTAACTCAACAAACAGGGTGAAATACTACGCATTATCTCGAATAGAAGGTGTATAAATAGTAGATATCATGCCTTCGTTAGGTCTTTAATTTGATAATTCGTAATGTACTACAATTTACAACATCATTATAATATACTGTACCAAAAGTGAAATATAAGAATTAAGGGTTGTATTAAAGATTATGAATACAAAAGGCGATATATATGACATTCGCAAGTTATTTGTTGCATTAGAACGTATCAATGTCTATAAAAGTAATGTTGTCTAACCGAAGGTTTACAGATCATTTATGATATAAGTGACAGCTTTCAAGGTGTAATGAAATCAGCAACAAAAGATCATTTCTTTCACTAATGTCACCAACCCAATAAGTAGAAAGTCGATTGCAATTAAAACTGTGACGAAGATCAATAATAATAAGGACTTCGTGATTTGATTAAGGTTAACATGAAAGATTACGATTATTAAACTTGTTTTGTCGCCAAATATGGTTAATGATGGTAGATTTAAATGCAACTAATCACTAGAGTATTTTATAATACCTAATTAATTCAATTCAAAACAAACCTTGACACCATGTGCCATTCCCGATAAATCCAAGTCGGCATTCGCAAGTAAATATTGATGTTTTAGATGGCAAGTTATTTATCATGATGCATTTGGCATGATGATGACATGTTTGCCCATCCAGTCCGCATTTATCCAAAGACTGATTATCTAATGTTTAAAAGAAACGCTTAGTTAGCTTGTCCATATCAACTGATCATTCCTGTAAAAATACTAATAATGGCATCTAATATCATTTATTTAATAATAATTATTATTACTGCAAAACGAATACCAGCATTAGTGAAATTCGGTAGTCAAATTAACTAAGTAGAGAATCTTAATATTAAAAAACACAGTTTAGTTTGCGTCTATTCCCCGTGCCATAGCTTATTCCAACATCTAAAATCCTGCGTCGTATAACAATAAACAGAGCCCTACTTTGAGTGTAGTTACTTATAGATAGAAATTAGGGAAATTTTTTTGATGACAAGATACGCACTGTCGTAAGATCATATTTCATGCAAATAATTATTAATTGCAGTAAATTCATAAAAGTTAACTAAACACCACTATGAGGCCAATACTATCATATCATCAAATTAGATAATCTATTAACCACTAAAGATAAGCCTTTAATTAAATGAAAACTCTGCATAGACTGCTTCCATTAATTGTAAACCTCTTGTTAAGTCAATAGATGTGTTTTCAATAACAGATTCTACTGCTAAAAAAACAAAGTTTGGTAAATTGTGGTGCCAACTTAGAATATCTCGAAATTGGATTTAAATGACTATTTGCAAATCGATATTAAATTTCGAAATTGAAGGCTTCTTATTAACAGGGAACATCAGTTGTAACACTCACTAATTTAGTATTCTAGTAGAACTAATCGTTCGTTTAATGTGAAATAAGACATATAAATTCGTTATATAATGATCAAAAGATTCTTTATTAAGATAAAATAATAATTTTGTTAATCCACATTGCGTTCGGATATGAGTTATATCTCACCAAAGAATAAATACGGTCATCTTACGTGTACATAAAATAAAAAGATAAACTAGCGAGAAAACTCCATTTAATTATATCTATAAATTAATATGATCTTTCCTTTCTGTAGTATACGAATATTCGTATGATAAGTTTCATACCGAAATTTGAATATTTCATCAATCCTAGAACACTAATTAGATTATATTAGATAATCCGTATAGCTATAGTAAATACATAATTTTGCTGACATATTAAATATTAGCTCAGGCCCATTTCAATAGAGATCGTATTTAGCATGGTACCATTAGTACCAATTGAATAAAATATATTCTAGGCAATTGTCCGCTTAACTGAATTTATCGTAAACTTTAGAAGTACAACAATCGCTTTTAGATAATAAATCTTCTTATTCTACTATTGACTTCTACATTAATCAGCCAATAGCTATTATCATACATTAATTATCAGAGAAACCGCAGGTATGAACGGTATTGGCCGTAAATCATATGAGCATACTTTATCATGAATCATTTGACAGTACCTAATTGCACATAACTGCAGTTCATGCATGATACACCGTACTACAGGTCCACCGAAATAGTAGTAGAGTTAGGACCTTATAAACTAATTATCTTCAGAATATTAAACAATGGAAAAAGACCAGGTAGATTATATTTAATTGCAAAGATTATATTGATAAGATGACTATTAATTGTCTACTGCACCATTGATTAACAAATTTTTTCTAATAATTGGATGTCATCGGAAACTATATTTTAACAATGGAATTTTATCACCCAATGCTTTATCAGTAAATAAATAAATGAATGACTGCATGGTAAATTCTTGTGCCGCCCGTACTATTTATAGATCTACGAGCATGTCAGGTCATATAAATATTCAATTATTACGTAAAATATTATTAAACAATTATTTTACCTGATGTTGGTGCAGTAGTTCCTGCAGTTTCAACCATAATAGCAAACTGTTGATTAATAAAATTTGATCAATTACTTGAAAGGATATTATTTCATAGATGACATATTTTGATTTTAATTCATAGGAAATAAACAAAGGTACAATACAATCTTCCAATTAGTATTATCACAGCCGTTAATCTAAATTAATTGATATGACTTTTGCCATCAATCTCAAAAGAAAAGTATACTATTTTACGGTACTGTATTAATATGAGAATTAAACTTAATTAATTAGAAGAGATTATTCAATATTAGAGAAGTTTCCGTAACAGAGGGGATCCACAAAGTTATTACTGTATATTTTTTTAAATCTTAGATTTTATATAGAACTATCGGGGTGTTAATAAATTTCATTTGGAATATCTTATGTAACAGCAAAATATTAGTTACTGTGATTTAAATAATTGTAAGGGTAACGATTTCGTAGTAATTTTTTACTATGGTTCATTTTCAATCGCTAGTTTTCACTTACTAAGATATTATCAGAGATATTCCTGAATTACCTCTTATGCTAAATAATTCAAAGAATATTTCGATACTACTAATTGTAGCATACTGATATACAAACTGCTATGATCTTGTCGATAAGAGGATATTATTCATATATGGCAAAAGCATTAAATACTGTAGTATTGCTAAAATTTAGGAATACTGCTTATTATCAATATCCAAATTTTGTTATCCCACTACTCGTATATACTTCGTATGACTCTAATTTTGAAGATATTGCTTGACAATATCAGACTGATTAATTAAAGTTAATCTTCAATAAGGCTGAATTTCACAAAAGATTAATCAAAAAGGTCGCTTTCGTTTTAATTTTCAATCACAGTCTGTTGCAATCTATTTTCTTTTTTCAGTGATAAAATATGATTTAATCTGTAGTAAGAAATTTAGATAAATTAACTTGTCTTAAAGAAGAGGCCTTGTAGAGTAAAATAAACGACACGGAAAAAAATAAGTAATCAGTGATAGCTGAAAGTACAGATACGAAGAGGGATTGAAGATCAGTCACAGAATTTTCCTTATATATTGCAATATTAAAATTGAAATTAATCGGTATACCTTAAATTCCAGAATTGAATTATACATTATAGGAATAGTATAGATAGCATTATCGAGTGAAATGGAATACAAATTAAGTGAGTAAAATTCATTTTTGCCCATCTTTGCAATTAGCCATTACAAAAATTTATAAGATAACGTAAAATATAGAGAAAGATACAGAAGATATCGAATATAAAAATTACAGCTTTGCTAAATGATGCAGTGTAGTTTCATATCAATTATTTCTTAATCTTGTTTTTACTACCTGTATTAAAATAGAGCTGATCAGTAAGAGTGCCAAATAAAATCTCGTCGGACGCTCCATCGCAATCTGGTTCTGGTCATATAATGAAGTAACAGAGAGCAACACGTTTACTTTTATACATATGTGAGATTTTTAATTGAATATAGCATTTTGCCTAACACTACAATACAGCATATCTGTTTTTAACGATTAATGTTGTTGTTTATTGTTATTAAAATGTTTTTAAGAGATCAAGCTAATATTACCTAACAATAAAAATTATTAATACGTCATTCATTTTAGTTGAAAAATAATGGATTTAATATTTACAAACGAATTCCAAATCTTTAGATCGTTTCTAAACTATAATAGATTTATAATTCTACTTTTCATATCGGATTTTACTCTCTATA